CTTGATAGAAATGTAGTGGAGTGAAAAGTACAATATTTGTGTTTCAAATGTAGTGAAGTTAAAGTCCTAAGTTTCCAGAAAAAATAATACTCAAGTAAAGTACAGATACTCAAAAAGTGTACTTAAGTACGATACTCAAGTAAATGTACTTAGTTACTGTCCGCCTCTGCACAAAGGTGAGTAAATGATGACAGAATTCCATTGTTGGGTGAACTATCCCTTTAAGTTTGAACAAAAGGGAAACAAACAGGAAAAGATTGTCTAGACTTGAACTCATTCAGCACATGCAGGTCAAAGGTGCAAATGTGACCTCAGAGAATAAAAATGGCCCTCTGGAAAACAATTGCTAATTCAATGTGGGCATTTCAGCATGTGCGCACAATCTCACCCCTCAGGAAACAATTAGACCAAATATTTTTGTAGCAGTCCGATTTGCCTTGATGTGTTTTTTCAAAGAAGAGAATGAAAGAGAGGAAAAAAGAAAAATGAAACAGACAAAAAAGAGAGGGAAACAAAGTGGCAGTGGTACCATGTGATTCCAGCAGAGGAAGGGTCAGAGCGTAATTACAGAAGGTTAAACGGTTTCCCTGATGCTCTCAAGGAGCCAGGGATGGAAATGAAAAGCAAGTGAAGCGATGCGAGCGGGTGGTGTAGAGACGCAAGGCCCCCGCTCCTCTGATCTGAAGAACACGTGTTACATGTGCTACACGACTGCAGCTGATGGCTTATCTATGTGGCGGAGCCCAAAGCAATCCGAACTTTGATGTACAGGAAGCAGAGGAGGGGGATGTGGGATCCAGGCAGCAGGTACTAGTATGACTGTACAGGTCTGTGTGAGTGAATTGAGGGAAAACCTCTGAGCATGAGAGCTTAGCTGATTCATACAAAATTATGCATGAAGTGATTGATCTGTGAGCCTAGACAAAGGGTTGTGCATAACAATAAAAATGTGTACTGGATCAATCTTCATTGTCGGAGCACTGAAAATCAATTCACTCGATGATATCATAAAGAGGTAACCTATCATATAATGTATCACTTTACTCAATCATTCTGCACAGGGGATTTGCATTTGTAGAATGTACACATGATGCAATAATACAAAAAAAAAGATTACATATTATCCATAATATAGCATTTTAGCATTATCACATGAGCAATTGTGAGCTTTTAAAGGGGTGGTTGACTGTTTTTTTTATAGGCTTGATTGTGTTTATGGGGTGCAGTCTAACATGTGTTAATGCTTCCTTTGTTAAAAAACGCATCATTTTTCGCATAATTTACCTTTATTCCACACCGGCTTTTAATGGTAGGCCTAAGATTTTTGTTTGTGGTTGTCTCATACTTTTAGATACGCTGTTATTTGTAAATGCTACTGCTTCTGTTAGCTTTTAATATACGGTTTTATTCTGATTAAAGCTTTAATACAGTTCGGCAACCGCACGCACGTCCATGTATAACGCTTCTCATAACTATAGTATGTGAAAATAAGTGTAACCTTATCCCTTACGGCTCCGACGAGGTTTTGTTCTGTCCTCCACACTGTGACAACTCACAAAAGACTACTTTTAGCCAAGCAGTGTGGAGAGCCGCTTCAGAAACATGCCGCGGCTGGCTCATAAACACAAGTACTGACTAGAGCGGCCACGGAGCCATAACGTGCCGCAGATGTGTGCAGTGAGGCGCAGATCAGCTCTAACGTCACTGAATCTGCTGTTAAAAATGAACCATCTATTCATCATATCATCATGCAAAGCATACACAACAAATAGCGAATTTTTAATTGTTTCTCGAAACGTCATAGCATTTCCACACCAGCGATGACATGACTGTGGCGCCAAATCATTTATGTTCCCACGCATCATGTACGTCGTCAGACTTGTCACACGTTGACGTCATTAAATTGCATGAGATCGGTTCGTGAGATCGGCCAAGTGTAGTGAGTACCGATCGAGTCATAAAATGTGATTATCGGCCGATACCGATCTCCGGCCGATCGATCGGAGCATCCCTAG